GCCCCCTGCAGTGGAAGCTCAGAGTCTTAACCACTGGACTGCCAGGGAAGTCCCTGAAAAATTTTTTTAGTTTTTGCTTGAATGCATGAAAAATATTTCACCAGATTTTCTTTCTTTTGGGGGCAGGTTTCAGATTTTTCCTTTTAGCATCACATGGATATCATTAATTATCTTCTGATTTTCATTATTGCTTAGAAATCGCCTGTCAGCTTGTCACTCTTATTATGGTAATATATGTGTCTTCTGGTTCCTTTTTATTGTGGTAAAATGTACATAACATAAAACTTATCATCTTAACCATTTTAAATTGTAAAATTCAGTGGCATTTAGTACATTCACCATTATCTAGTTCCAGAATATTTCTATCACTCCAAAAGGAAATCCAGTACCCATCAGGAAGCCACTCCCCGTTTACCCTTCTCTCCAATCTCTGGTAATCACTAATCTGTTTTCTGTCTCTCTATATTTTCCTATTCTGGATATTTCATATAAATGGAATCATACAATATGTAGTCTTTTGTGTCTGACTTCTTTCACTTAGCATATTTTCAAGGTTCATCCATATTGTAGCATGCATCAGCATGTCTATGTTTTTTAATGGCTGAATAATATTCAGCTGTATGGATAGACCAGAATTTGTTTATCCACCAGTTGATGGACATTTGTGTCATTTTCACCCATTGGCTATTGTGAATAGTACTGCTATGAGCATTTGCCTGCAAGTTTTTGTTAATTGCCTGTTTTCAGTTCTTTTGGGTACATACCCAGTAGCAGAATTGCTGAGATCATATGGTAATTCTATGGTTTCTACAGTGGCTGCCTATTTCGCATTGCCATCAGCGGTATGGGTTCCAATTTTTCTATATCCTTGCTAACACTTCTTACTTTCTGTATTAAAAAAAAATTATAGCCATCCTAGTAAGTGTGAAGTAATATCTTATTGTGGTTTTGATTTGCATTTTTCTAATGACTAATGATGTTGGTGTTGATGTGCTTGTTGGCTATTTGTATATCTTCTTTGGAGAAATGCCTATTGAAGTCCTCTGCCTATTTTTAAATTTGGTTGTCTTTTTGTTGAGTTTAAGAATTCTTTTCATATCTATTTTTCTTCTGTTGTTTGTGATTATGGTTCACATCTAAAAAACCATTTGTAAAATCCAAGGTCATGAAGATTTACCTCTATATTTTCTTCCAAGAGTTTTAAAGTTTTAGTTCTTATATTTAGGCATTTGATCTATTTTGAATTAATTTTTGTATATGGTGTGTGGTGACTTCATTCTTTTGCATGTGGCTATCCAGTTTTCCCAGCATTATTTGTTGAAGAGACTATTCTTTTCCCATTGAATGGTCTTGGCACCCTTATCGAAAATCAATTTACTATAGATATATAGCGTTATTTCTGGACTTGAATTCTATCTTTATGTCACTACCACAGTGTTTTGATTACTGTAGCTTTGTAGTAAGTTTTGAAATTGGGAAGTGTGAATCCTGTAACTGCTTCTTCAAGATATTGTTTTTGCTATTTTGGGTCCCTTGCAATTACAGATGAATTTTAAGATCAGCTTGGCCATTTCTGCAAAAATGGCCATTGGGATTTTGATAGGGATTGCACTGAATCTGTAGAAAGCTTTGGTTAGTAGTGCCATCTTAATAATGTGTTCCAATCCATTAACCCAGGATGTCTCTCCATTCATTTAGGTCTTCTTTAATTTTTCAAGCAATGTTTTGCAGTTTTGAGTGTATAAGTCTTGTACCTCCTTGGTTAAGTTTATTCCTAAATATTTTATTCTTTTGGATGATATTGTAAATGAAATGTTTTTCTTAATTTTCTTTTCAGATTTTTCACTACTACTGTATGGAAACACAACAGATTTTTGTGTGTTGATCATGTATCCTACAACTTTACTGAACTCATCTATTAGTTCTAGTAGCTTTTTGTGGGTTCTTTAGGATTTTCTATGATAAAATCATATCATTGGTGAAGAGAGACAGTTTTACTTCTTCCTTTCCAATCTGAATGCCTTTTGTTTATTTTTATTTTTTTTTGTAATTTCTCTGGCTATAACTTCCAGTACAGTGTTGAACAGAAGTGGTGAAAGTGGTCATCCTTGTTTGTTTGCCACTTCTCCACTATTTCTTTCATTCATTCTGGATTCCACTTATATATATATGGCTTTCTCTGTATAGCATATGTCTCAATTTCTTTTTCATATGTTTCACCTTCTGTGCTCCATTCTGGGTAATTTCTTCAGATATATGTTCCAGTGACTAAATTCTCTTTGGCTGTGCCCAATTCACTATTAAGTCTTTCTTTGATTTTTAAACTTCAACAATGATGTTTTTTAATTTCTAAAAGTACTGTTTTTTCCAAAACTGCCTAATAATTTGTCATTTATTTTTATGTTTCCATAGCTCATTGCTTTAAATATTTTGTGCATAATTACTTTATGATATCTATCTGATAATGTCAATATCTGGTATTCTTCAGATTCTAAATTTGTATTGATTGTTTCTGCCCATTTGTAGTCAAGTTGGCTTGTTATCTTGTATGTTTGCTGATCTATGTTTATGATCTTATCATTTTAATACGTAGGAATCCTGGAGACCTAAACTGGGAATGCTTTTTCTCTAGAGAAATCATTCTTCCAGAAGCCAGGAGGTGCTACTTATCTGCAACTAGTTCTGCTACTTTCTGGGTTTCATTACTTAATGCAGAAGTCTCACATTCCATTCTTGCATTTTGCTCGAAGCTTGGTCTCCTGAGAGCAACACTAATATAAGCATTTCCCTTTAGGAAAGTTCCTCCATTTTACATTTTCTCATTTTTCACCTCTCTTTGCTCTGATTTAAGCTCATTATTTTAAAATAAAAGCTCATTTTTTTTGTTTGTTTTGTTTTTTGCTGTTGGTGGTGAGGAGGCTGGAGAGTCCCCTTTCTTCATTGAGTGTAGCAGTGCATTAAGAAGTATGTACTGTAGGGCTTCCCTGGTGGCGCAGTGGTTGAGAGTCCGCCTGCCGATGCAGGGGACACGGGTTCGTGCCCCGGTCCGGGAAGATCCCACATGCCGCGGAGCGGCTAGGCCCGTGAGCCATGGCTGCTGAGCCTGCGCGTCTGGAGCCTGTGCTCCGCAACAGGAGAGGCCACAACAGTGAGAGGCCCGCGTACCGAAAAAAAAAAAAAAAGAAGTATGTACTATCAGTGCTATAGCCTTTTAAAAATTTTGGTAATATATACATAACATATATTTTAACTGTTTTTAAGTGTACAAGTACGTTTGACAACAAGTACATAACATGTACATTCACAATTTTGTGCAACTATCACCACCAACCATCTCCAAAACACTTCATCTTGCAAAACTGAAACTCTGGGGAATTCCCTGGTGCTCCAGTGGTTCGGTCTCTGTGCTCTCACTGCTGAGGACACGGGTTCAATCACTGGTCAGGGAACGAAGATCCCACATCCCACAAGCCGCGCAGCGCGGCCAAAACAAAACAAAAAACCAAAAAATAAAAACAAAAACAAAACTGAAACTCTGTCTCCATCAAACAATAACTCTCCATCCTCCCCAGCTCCCAGCCTCTGGTAACCTCTATTCGACTTTCAGTCTCACTGTAATTGTTAATTTTACATGTCAACTTGTCTAGGCCATACGGTGTCCAGATATTTGGTCAGACATTATTCTGGGTGTGTTGGTGAGGATGTTTTTGGATGAGATTAACATTTAAACAGTAGAGTGAGTAGAGCAGATTGCTGTCCCCCCACCCCAAGCGGGTGTGCGTTATGCAATCAGTTGAAGGTCTGAATAGAACAAAAAGGCTGACCCTTGTCTGAGTAAGAGAGAATTCTTTTTGCATGGCCCATTTGAATTGGGACATTGGGTTTTTTCCAGCCTTTGGGCTCAAACTCAAATATTGGCACTTCCTGGGTTCAGACAGGAACTACACCACTGGCTCTCCTTGTTTCCAGACCTTCACACTCAGACTGAAACTTACACCATTGGCTCTCCTGGGTCTCCAGCTTGCTGACTCACCCTGCAGATCTTGAGGCTTGTCAGCCTCCATAATCATGTGAGTCAATTGGTTCTGTTTCTCTGGAGAACCCTGACTAATATATAAGTGGAATTATATAATATTTGTCCTTTTGTGTCTGCTCTAATTAATTTAGCCATGCATGTTATAGCATGTATCAGAGATATGCCCTTTTTAAAATGGGAATGTCCTCTAGAACATACATTATCAGTACTCTGGTTCACTAAACTGCCAGAAGCAAAAATGTTTAATCCAGCCTTGAGGGAACAAGGAATTCTTCTTGGAGGAGATGATGTTTATCTGAGACTTGAAGAATGCACCAGGTGAAAGGGTCAATAAGAAGTACCTAGAAAAAATGTTCTAGGTAGAAGAAACAGTACATATAAAAGCCTGGTGTGAGAAAAAACATGCTGTTTTTAGGGACTTGAGGGTTCCTTAGTATGGGTGCAGCTTAGAAAGCCAAGGAGCAAGTAGCAAGAGACTATGCTAGGGCTTCCCTGGTGGCGCAGTGGTTCAGAGTCCGCCTGCCGACGTAGGGGACACAGGTTCGTGCCCCGGTCTGGGAAGATCCCATATGCCGCGGAGCAGCTGGTCCCATGAGCCATGGCCGCTGAGCCTGCATGTCCAGAGCCTGTGCTCTGCAAAGGGAGAGGCCACAACAGTGAGAGGCCCGCATAAAAAAAAAAAAAAAAGAGAGACTATGCTAGAGAGGTCGGTAAGGGCCACCATCCCGAATGACACCAACATCTATGAGGATAAGCAGCTTTTGGCTCTACTCTGCTCTTTCCTGGGATGATACATTCTTGCTTGGAGTCACTGTGTCCTCCCAGAATGCCTTTCATAGTGTCCTATTACTATAGATACTCAGTAAAGTTTATCCTGAAAGTCTGGTCATATATCAACCTTGTTCTGTTTCTAAATGTCAAGTTCTAAGACAGGCTTTGTGCCTTTCCTGTGAGATTAGCGTACCTTTACTTTGCCATTCTGAAGAAACAGAGTCCAGTTATGGCCATCTTGACTACTGGATATGAGGAACTCCTTCACATACATGCTGGTGAGCAGAGATTTCACCCCCTGGGTGGTTATTCCTGTGACTCTCATTGTCTTCTGGAAGTCCACTTGCAGCCACTCTTTTTGATTATTTGCCTGGGGAATGCACCAGGTGCATTAGAGTAGTATCTTTTTGGTCACTATTTGCTCCCAGAAATCCCCAAATCCCTTCTTAATCATATCACAGCACTTATCACTCTGCATATTAATTATCTGTTTGTCAGTCTTCCTTATTAGACTCGAAGCAAATTGAGGGCTGAAATTTTTCATGATTCATCTCTGTATCCCCAGGGTTAGCCACTTAATAGGGGCCCAGTAAAGGTTTGCTGAATGAATATATGAGTAATATACAGACTGACTAGAGTATTAAAAGTTTGGCAATGTGTTATACAACCTATTTTGTTTAAAATAAGCCCCTGGGGGAACAGAGACCATTAACTCCATCCATTTCCGCAAGCTAGTCAGTGATTGAAAATCACAAACTGAGTGGTTCCAGAAAAGAACTGTGCCCAATGAACTGTACATAACTATGACCCTTTGCTTTGTTGATATTTTTCTGTAAAACTGGATTTCAGCCACTCCAATTCTTTGACAAATATTAGCCCAGTACTACATATAGATATTCTGTTTCTAGGAGGTTCAATTAGGGATCATTATCCCCCAATGAATGCTGTGTGAACTCACACGGCACACCCACTAAATAAATATCTGTGGGGTTTTCTGTGTATAGTCAACTTTCCTTGACACTCTTTGTGGGAACAAGCAGGTGACAGAAGTAACTGAAGAAACAGTCACGAGCTTACCCTATCCTTTCCCAACCACTACTCCTTCTTCTGCATCAGTTATATGGCAAATTTGTTCCCTCTTACCCGGGGTCTCCAGGCATTAGTCCTCCCTTGGAGGTGAAGTCGGGCTTGTGAAGGAGACCAGGTGGCAAACAGATTGCTTAAGTGGGATGAGGCAGTAATCTGTGCATCTGATATTGCTTTACTCTCCATTCCCAGTGCCATGTTGCAACCTCAGAGAAATGAAAGGAGAATGTAATCACAAGAACAAGTTGCGGCTGAGGTCCTGCTGGCCCGTCTCCACTGATATGTTCTAGGGCTATTGTCATCACGAAGTCATTTTCCAGGCACTAACTTTTGCATGCTACTGTTAAGATGCCCCCTATTTTCTTGTCAGCTCTGCTCAGCTCTGTTGGACTTTGATTTGCCTTGTTAATAGTAGTGTAGGAGGTGGCTGCCCCTGGGGAATCCCATGGTTAGGATGACCAAGTCATGTGTTTGCCCAGGACTGTACTGGTTTTAGCATTGATAGTTCTGTGTCCTGGGAAATCCCCCCAGTCTCGGGAAAGCTAGGATGGTTAGCCATCCTACTCATGGTTGGGAGAGGTAAGGACATGGGATGACTTGACACTTACTGTTTAAATCACAGCCCATCAACTCCATGCGAAGAGTGCTGCGGATGCTGTAATGCGTTGGGTGCAAACGGATATACCGAGCAATAATTGGAGGGTTAAAAATATTGTGTTTTATCCCAGATGAATCCACATTGCCAAAGAAGACCTGTAGGGAGGTATTAGCACAGATACATGTAAAATGAAGAAAGAATAAGAAACAATTCCTCCCAATCATATCTTTCTTCTAATTTGCTCTGTGCATTTCTCAACAGCACCGAACACCCAAATAAAACCATTCTGGCTAGCCAGATGTTAGAATGTAATATGCGAAGGAGAAAATCACAGGGAGAAGAATGGAACAAGGGAGATTAGGTCTGAGCAGGTTAAGTGTCTACTTTGGGGTCCTGTAAAACGGTCATTCATCAAAGTTGTGGAAGCCATTTAGGCCTTTGCTAATCCAGTGTGGGCCACAGACCAGCTGCATTAGAATCACCTGGGAGCAACATCTTGAGCCCTATTCCAGATCTACTGAATCAAACCATACAGTTTGAGAAACACTAGCTTAGGGCAGAGTCGGCTGCAGCTGTGAAAGGGGACTTGGAGTAGGCGGCCTGCCATATGGTCTCAGGATGATCTTCCAATAATGTGTGTGTGTGTGTGTGTGTGTGTGCTGTGGGGCGTTAATTAACGATCCCTTGTGTATGAATTCATGAGACACATGTTAATATCCAACTTCTGGGGGTTAGGAACTTGACATGTCTAGGTTCTACAGAAAAGTACATGACATATTTAAGGAATAAGGAACAGTTTGAGAAATATGGTAGTAATTCCAATTCAAAAGGCCTAGATTTAAATCATGGTATATAGAAAAAAGAAAGTTGAAAATTCTCTCTCATAAAACACCTGGGATTCTCTATCTGCTTGAATACACTAAAACAGGAATCAATGTATGGCTGTTATATAATAAGACATCAGAGTTATAGTATTATGGGGAATTAAAAAAATTGTTCTTCCATGTAACAATTTTTTCTTCCTATGGGATAAAAATGTTAATAAATGTATAGCATTGCCCCAGAAATCACAGCATTTAAAAAATATTTTTATTGGAGTAGAGTTGATTTACAATGTTGTGTTAGTTTCTGCTGTACTGCAAAGTGAATCAGTTATACATATACATTTATCCACGCTTTTTTAGATTCTTTTCCCACACAGGTCATTACAGAGTATTGAGTAGAGTTCCATGTGCTATATAGTAGGTCCTTATTAGTTATCTATTTTCTATATAGTAGTGTGTATATGTCTATCCCAATCTCCCAATTTATCCCCCCCTTACCCCTGTGGTAACCATAAGTTTGTTTTCCACACCTGTGACTCTACTTCTGTTTTGTACATAAGTTCATTTGTACACTTTTTTTTCGATTTCACATATAAGTGATATCATGTATTTGTCTTTCTCTGACTTACTTCACTCAGTATGACAATCTGTAGGCACAGCATTATTTTTGATAAATAGATCTGCTTCATTTTTAACTCAATTATTGTGCCTTGATTAGATACCTTCTTAGGAAGACAATGTATTAATTCAACAAATAGTTAATGACTACAGAAATCCTAGATTCCATGTATTATGTGCCAGAAACTATGTGCTAGGTGGCTTCACTGGTGAATTCTAATAAATGTTTAAAGAATTAATGCCAATCCTTTCCCAAACTCTTCCAAAAGATAGAAAAGGAGGAAAAACATCCTAACTCATACTATAGGGCCAGCATTACCTTGATACCAAAGCCAGACATATATAGCAGAAGAAAGAAAATTACAGACCAATAGCCTTTATGAATATCGATGCAAAAATCCTCGGAAGAATTCTAGCAAGCTGAATCCAGCAGCATATTATAAATATTACATTCCATGTCCAAATAGGAATTATCCCAGGAATGCAAGGATGGCTCAACATAAGAAAACTGATTAATCAAAACCACATTGATAAAATGAAGGGGGAAAACACCCTCATGATCATCTTAGTTGATGCAGAAAAAGCATTCAACAAAATCTAACAACTTTCATGATTAAAAGACAAACAAACAAAAAACACCCAGCAAACTAAGAATAGAAGGGAAATTCCTCAACAAAATAAAAGGCTTTTATGAAATACCCTAGCTAATGTCATACTCAATGGTGGAAGACTGGAAGCATTTCCCCTAACATCAGGAACAAGAGAAGAATGCTTGCTTTCAGTGCTTCTACTCAAGACTGCAACGGAAGTCCTAGTCAGAGCAATGAGGCAAGAAAAAGAAATGAAAAGCATCGAAGTTGGAAAGGAAGTTAAACTACTTCTATTCTCAGATGACATGCTCTTCTGTACAGGAAACCCTAAAGAATCCACAAAACACATTAGAGTTAACAAACGAATTCAACCAAGTTGCAGTATACAAGATCAACACACAAAAATCTGTTGTGTTTCCATATCCCAGCAATGAAAAAATAATCCAAAATGAAATTGACAACAGTTCTATTTCACACAACATCAAAAGAAATAAAATACACAGGGATAAATTTAGCCAAGGAGGTGCAAGGCTTGTGCACTGAAAACTACAAAGCACTGCTGAAAGAAATTAATGATGACCTCAAAAAGAAAAGGGGAAAGACAGCAGATTTTGTGGACGGGAAGACTTAATACTTTTAAGATGGCAATCCCACCCAAAGTTGTCTAGAGATTTAATGAAATCCCTATGGAAATCACAACGCTCTGTTTTACAGAAATGTAAAAGCCAATCCTAAATGCATATGGAATTTCAAGTGACCTTGAATAGCCAAAATAATCTTGGAAAAGAAGAAAAAAGTTGGAGGACTCACACTTCCCTATTTCAAAACTTAGTCCAAAGCTTCAGTTATCAAAACTATGTGGTACTAGCATAAGGATAGACACATAGATCAGTGGAGTCCAGAAATAAACCCATAGATCTATCCCATGGGTTGTAAACCCAACTGAGTTGAAAACAGGTGTTCAAACAGAACCCTGCACAAGAATGTTCACCAGAGCACTATGCCCGACGGGCACAACGTGGAAGTCACCCAAATGTACATCAGCTGCTGAGCGGATACACAACATGTGTGGTCTAGCCACGCACTGCAATGTTATTCAGCCTGCTGAATATTATTCAGCCAGGAATATTATTCATTTGGAAGCAGATATATAGTCGTGATGGTGGCCCAGCACCGCCAGTGTATACTTGGTGCCCCTGGATGGTCCGCCATTAGCTGCCTTCTCTGTACAAAGTTCCCGTCTGGTGGACAGTGAGAGTTCCACCAAAGAGAGGGTCCAGCGAGCACAGCGAGCAGGATCCTGCCAGCGCCATTTCTTTCCAGGCCCAGGACCCCGGCGGAGAGGGTGGGGGCAGGGTGAGGTGGGGGTGGGGGAGGGGTTATGGGAAAGCAGTGACCTCACAGGGTGCTCCCCGACCAATGAGGGCCCGGCCTATGGTCGCTACGATACGGAGGAGGGGCCTGAGAACACCGGTTGTCTTGAGATGTTGGGACCAGCAGGCACAACCGACCGCCCCTCATCCCGCCGCACCTCATCCCAGCGCACCGCAGAGCGAGGCCATCGCAGAAAGCACGCCCAACGGCCAGCATGCCGGGGAAGAGGGGCCGTCGAGGGTCACCCGGTCGCCGCTCCCGCACCGCCCGAGCCGAGCTGTCCTTCTCCGTGAGCCACATGGAGCGCCTCCTGTGGGAGGGCCACTATGCCCAGCGCCTGAGCTCGTCCGCACCCGTCTACCTAGTGGCCATCATCCAGTACCTGGCGGCCAGGGTCCTGGAGCTGGCACGCCATGAGGCCCAGAACAGCAGCAGGAGGCGCCTCACTCCGGAGCTGGTGGACGTGGCGGCCCGCAGCAACACGCTGCTCAGCGACTTGTTCAGGACTATAGCACCATCTCCCAGGTGGCCCTGGCCCAGCCCTAGCTGCCCAACGACACCTGGGTCCCCGGCCCCCAGGGGCGCGGCCATCAGGCGCCAGGCCCGCTCACCGACCGACCGCACAGCCCGGGTGGCCCAGGCCTGCACGCCGCCTTGGGCACAGTCACTGCGAGTCAATAAAGTGTTTCAAGAGACCCCCTGCGCATGCTTCACTCACTTGGAGTGGGAGGTGGTGGTGGTGGGACACCCCTCGTCGGAGGGATGGGGGCGGGGGTCTGGCCGGAGTTGGGGGGTGGGGGGCGTGGAGTCGGGGGTCACAGACAGAGAGGAGCGGTCTCCCACGGTGACAGTGCATGGGGTGGCCCTGGGTGGGAGAGGCTGGCTGCGGCGGGGCTGGGGGCGGACTGGGGCCTGGGGTGAGGCCGGACAACAGAAGGCTCCCCCGCTGGCTCTGAGCAAGTTGGAGCCAGGCCAAAGTCCCCAGAGGGACGGGGTTCCTTGCGGCGGCGCTCGACACCGCGAGGGCGGTGTCGTGATAGGGTGAAGGTGCCAAGGCGACCGACCGCCCTGGGTGCGGGAGGCAGGGGTGGGTGGACAGAGCGCTTGGCATGGACTCCCATGGGGCAGGGGCTTTGACGGGAAGATTGAGGCGTGATCGGGATTGGGGTGGGCAGGACACAATGAACACATAGGCAAAGTCGGAATTAGGGCCACGTGGGGTCAAGAGTTTTTGGTTGTGTTCCCCTAGCGATGCCAAGAGACGCCCTTCTTGGCAACCTGCGTAAACAAGCTGTCACCTACCGGTTGGAGCCCTGGTCTGGGAAGATCCCACATGCCGCGGAGCAAGGAAGGCCGTGTGCCACAACTACTGAGCCTGTGCTCTAGAGCCCGAGAGCCACAACTACTGAGCCCATGTGCCACAACTACTGACGCCCGCGCGCCTAGAAGCCATGCTCCACAACAAGAGAAGCCACCGCAATGAGAAGCCCGCGCACCGCAAGGAAGAGTAGCCCCCGCTTGCCGAAACTAGAGGAAGCCCCTGCACAGCAACAAAGACCCAACACTGCCAAAAATAAATAAATTAAAAAAAAATCTGTCACCTAGCAACAGGGGGCGCCCAGCCAGGCCCCGCCCCAGCACCATTGGTCTGCTCACAGAACCCCGGACAGCGGGCCAGGCCCCGCCCCAGGGCCCCCGATTTGCATACGCCACCCTCAGCCAGTCCCGGCTGGGCCTCCGTGCTTGCTATTTTGCATATCACCAGGGCGACGAGAGCTCCGGGCGGCCGAGCCAGCGCGGTCGCTTGGTGGGCCGGAGCCCGACGCAGGGCACGTCTCAGCCCGCCGCCGTCGCCCAGCACTTGCGCCCACTTGCGTCAGCGCGCCCGGAAGTGCCTAAGCGGCGATCATGGCGGCTTCCGCGGCCGGCCTGGGTGCTGGTGCGGGCCCCGGGCCTGAGGCCGGGGACTTCCTGGCGCGCTACCGCCAGGTGTGCAACAAGCTGAAGAAGCGGTTCCTTCGGAAGCCTAACGTGGCGGAGGCCGGCGAGCAGTTTGGCCAGCTGGGTCGCGAGCTGCGCGCACAGGAGTGCCTGCCGTACGCGGCCTGGTGCCAGCTGGCCGTGGCCCGCTGCCATCAGGCCCTCTTCCACGGGCCCGGGGAGGCGCTGGCGCTGACGGAGGCCGCGCGCCTCTTCCTGCGGCAGGAGCGCGACGCGCGCCAGCGCTTGGCCTGCCCCGCCGCCTACGGGGAGCCGCTGCAGGCCGCTGCCGCCGCCCTGGGCGCCGCCGTGCGCCTGCACCTGGAGCTAGGCCAGCCGGCTGCCGCCGCCGCACTCTGCCTCGAGCTGGCGGCCGCCCTGCGCGACCTGGGCCAGCCGGCCGCCGCCGCCGGCCACTTCCAACGCGCCGCGCAGCTGCAGCTGCCCCAGCTGCCCCTGGCCGCCCTGCAGGCGCTCGGCGACGCCGCGTCCTGCCAGCTGCTGGCGCGCGACTACAGCGGCGCCCTGGCGCTCTTCACGCGCATGCAGCTCCTGGCGCGGGAGCACGGCGGCCACCCGGTGCCGCCGCCGGGGCCGCAGCCCCCGCCGCAGCCGCAGCCCAAGCCGCCGGCGCCGCAGCCCGGGGCCGGCGCGGCCTCTGCCCCACCGCTCGCGCTGCTTCTGCCCGGCGCGGGGTCCACGGCCGCGGCCGCGCCCTCCCCCGCCGCGCTGGGCGCCTTCGCCGACGTGCTGGTCCGCTGCGAGGTGTCCCGCGTGCTGCTGCTGCTGCTGCTGCAGCCGCCGCCCGCCAAGCTCCTGCCGGAGCACGCGCACACCCTGGAGAAGTACTCCTGGGAGGCCTTCGACGGCCACGGGCAGGACAGCAGCGGCCCGCTTCCCGAGGAGCTCTTCCTGCTGCTGCAGTCCTTGGTTATGGCCACCCACGAGAAGGACACGGAAGCCGTCAAGTCGCTGCAGGTGGAGCTGTGGCCCCTGTTGAGCGCCGAGCAGAACCACCTCCTGCACCTCGTTCTGCAGGAAACCATCTCCCCGTCGGGCCAGGGGATCTGACGAGTCCCTCCCAGCGACTCTGTGCCTGTCCCCGAGCCTCACGCACCCGCCTGCGCGTTTACGGGGACACAAGAGGCGTTGACCCGGCGCTTCTGCCTTTGCAGTGTATCTTACCCCTGTTGCCACCAGAGGAATGTGGTTGACTACAAGTTACGTTGTTTCCACAATAGTGGCAGAAAAAAACCATATGGTAGAATCGGAGAAGAGTCTCCGATTCTCTTCCCCAGAAACTGCAACAGAACCATGAGAGTCCCTTCCGCCCCCTTTCCTCTTCTGTTTTCACCCAACTGTCCCCACCCACCCCTCTTCCCCCGCAAGGCTCCCCTCCGCCCGCGTCCTTCTTTCCGACTGAGGGCTAATTTGCACAGCTCTGGCTCGCTACTTAAGCTGCATGATTTTTTCACGGTGACTCTGATTGCTTAGTGTATTTCGATGTCCACCTGCATGATCGCCCAGTTCCCCCTGTGTTTCATGCGCCCCGTACGTGTTCGTGGGAATCATTGGATTCAGTACTACGCTGTTGTCGCTACAGCCCTCAGTCCATGATAAAGCCATTCTGACCCTCCTAGCTTGTGGTTCGTATTTACCTTATCTGTAAAGTGGGAATAGCTTATCTACCTGGCAGGAGGCGGCAAGCAGAAGCAGATAGCTCCCTTTTAGCTCCAAGATGGATTCGTTCATTCGAAATGGACAGTGTGCCTGTGAGTCTACAGAGATCATTTGCGATGTGGTCCTTTCTCAACTGCAGTGCGAATGTGTTCGGTGCAGAGCAGGGTGGGAGTGGGGATGAGGGTGAGGGCGGGGTGGGCTCCAGAGCAGAGGTGTCAGACGTGCATTGGAGTTTTCAGTTCTGGCTCCATTTCGAGAGGTACGGGTAATCCACGTGGCAGCTTTTATTTGTAGTGCGGATCCTTCTACAAATCTCAGTTAACTCAAATATGTAAAATCAGCATGCTGCTTTGGTACTGTGTGATTGTGTGTATGCCAGACTGTGCCCTTGTTCCCCAAAAGCAGGATGGTGTTCCATTTTTAAACACTAAATTTCCAAGGCTTTTTGGTCCAAACGTTGCATGCAAACCGACTTAGCTGTTTTCTCAAATTCAATTTTATTTCCTTTAGTGTTGAGAGTGATGGTAGGAACTCTTCAGAATATAATCTCATTCATTCGGCTTGGGAAAACGCATCCTTTGGGCTGAAGTTGTAGACAGCACTAATCTTTTGAGGTGAGATTTAAGGACACAGTTTGGGAACAGATCTTGGTTTTGCGTATTTGGGGGGGAGGGGAAATATGTGCAGTATTGTCACTATGAGTTAAGTGTCCCAAAGTGGATGGGGCTTTTAGGGTATTTCTTTCTACTTCTATTTCAGCAGTGTGGAAGCAGTGGCTAAGGAAATGTAGGGGAGGCCCATTTGAGACAGATTCAGCCACCCTTCCTGTGCTCTCACTTGGCTGCCCGAAGGGTCTTTCCGAGCCCGAAAAGCCTAGTCCAGCTTGTTGCCAAAGTGGTAAGGGTGCGTGCTCCCTTGTGCTCTTGCTTTTGCTGGTACACTCTTGTCAGCCTGGGCTGCAGCTCTGGCCTCCTTCCTATTGTCCTTATGACAAGAATGCTTAGGAATTATGGACCGTGACTGGTGACAGCATTTGGGTTTGGGCGCAAGGAGAAGCCTCCTTAGACCTCTGGTCTAAACTCCTTGCTTTGAGGAGGTGGGGGGAGGGATTACCAGAGAGCCTGGTATTGGGTATACAAGCATAACTATAGAAAACGCTAAAGATTTTTTTCCATTTGCCATTGGTTCATTTATGTATCTCCCTCAGAAACTTCATAGCACGGAGAGCTGGGCCAAGGCCAGATTTCAGTGATTTTGACAGAAATCTTGCTATATATCAACTTATGTTGACAGGACATGATTAGTGTTCTTTTTAACTTGAAAACCAGAGGGAAAGATCTGCATCATTGAAATGTTCATTGACAATTCAAAATTAACATTCAAAATATTATGAAATATTGAAAATAGTGGCAGTGAAGCAGTGATCCTGAAAGGGTGCTTGGGGGACTTCTATGATGAGAAATGTTGCTTATGAAAAAATATTTTGTATGTAAATGGTACAAAGATATTAAGTCATTTGAGAACCACTATACTGGAGGAAGACGACTAAGACTGAAATTTGTAAATTGGGCAAAAAGCTCTGGGATAGAAGGGTTCTGGTTAATGTGAACTGTCTAGGCATCTCTACTGCCATTAGACTAGACCACCAGTCCACAAACACTTTCTGTAAAGGAGGAGAGAGAAATATTTCAGTCTTTTCATACCACATAATCTTCCTTGTTTGTTTGTTTTTGAAACTTTAAACACGTAAAAACCATTCTTAACTCACAGTCCATATGCAAAAGCAGGTTGTATTCCAAGTCCATGGGCTCTAGCTTGTGCAGCCCTTCACTAGAACCTAGAACATAGTAGTTACTCAATAACTGTTCAAGGAATGACCCTCATGAGTGTAGTTAATAACTATTTTATCTTTGTCATTGAACAAGAAAGATTGAAAATAAATGAACTAGTCATTTAACTCCAGATTCTAAGAAACAAGAAGATAAATGAAAGTGAATTTTTAATATTTTAAACAAATTAATTAATTAGAAAACAACACCTTCAAATCTATGTATGATTTTAAGACCAGAGTTGATTCTTTTAAAATCCAATAGAATAGATAAACACCAACTCTGATAAAGGGGGAAAAAGAGAGATACATGTGTGCATGTAGGTAAAGATATATGGCATGGGAAGGGAGATAGAACTTTAATGTACACATTTACAGCAATTAACTAGGTAACAGAAAATGAGAATGCCAGTAATCAGATAAGGAACGGAAAAGGTAGTTCAAGTATCTACCACTAAACGAGGCACAGTGGCTTTTCCATCCAATTTTCATTAAACAGATGATTACTACATTAAACTATTCTAGAGCAATAGTTTAATGGAAAAAGATGGAAGCTTTTACACTGTTTTCAAGGTTAGTGTAACTCTAATGCCAAAGCCTGATAAATACAGCCCCCCAAAGAGGTAAAACAACTTTATTGATTGGTACAGATAGAAAAATTCTAAACAAAATGTTAGCAAATTGGATCCAGCTAAACTTTAAATGACTGATACACTATGACTTAAGGGCAGTTTTCCCAGGAATGCAGCACCACCTTGTGCTGGAGCCCCAGCTAGGACTGGCTTGTGAGAGCCAATTGTGGGTGTCTGCTCCCAACTCTGCATTCAATGACACTGTGTCAGCAGCTTGAAATCAGGTGTGATGGGAATATTTACATCATGGAAATCAGCAAACACTACAAATAAAGGCCTTTGTGCTGACTGCCCCCCACTTTGCCCCAGAGCTGGCTGTTAAACATTTGCCAGCCCACCATTGAGTGTGAGTATAATCTGACAATAGCAAAGAGAAGAAATGTGATCCTATCGAAGATGCTGAGAAAGCATTTGATGAAATTCTACAGCCATTCCAAATAAGGTAGGAGTAGCAAGAAACTTTAAATATAAAAATATTTGAAACTAACAGCATGTTAAACAGCAAAATATGGGATCCATTCCCATTAAAGTCAGAAGCAAGATCTGCTAATATTTAATAAACGTATGCTAATATATCTATATATCACACTGAAAACAAAAGAAGAGCAAAGAGCATTTTGGTCACCGTCCAAGTCTACAAAGACATCTGCTGCAGCCGCTGATGGACAGTGCACTTGGTGTTCAGAGGAAGAGATGAATGGGATAACAGGATGAGGCACTCTGCTTTAGACAGGAAATGAACCATGATAACAGGATGCTCTGTGCTTTGGACGAACAGGCCGTAAGGCAGTTAATATGCATTTCAGGAAGAATTTTAATGAACCCTGCTTCTTGCATCTTCCCATACATAGAAAAACACTATAATCGTGAACTTGAGGTATCTGTTCTTTGTGAATAGTAGTAATATTTTACCAAGACTTATGCTTGACTGCATGTATTCCTTAACAAAAAAATCATATGTAAACTAGCCTCCCCCCAACCCCTTTGGAGCAGTTCCTCAGAGCTATCTGAGAGGCTGCCTCCCAGGCTACAGTCATCAGTAAGACCCTGAATAAAGCTTGATTCACAACTCTCACGTTGTGTATTTTTCTTTTAGTTGACAACACAATATATAATGTTTATGTGTTTGTGTATGTGTCTGTGTGTGCGTGTATTAATCACAAAGGCATTTAGAGTGATTACTATTTCCTGTTTACCAGGTCCTGTCAGCATAATGTCATCCATGTAATGGACCAGTATGGTGTTCTGTGGGATGTCGAGATGTTTGGGGTCCCTAGGGTCTATATTATGATAAGGAACAAGGGAAGGGGCATTGCCTTGAGGCATGGACAGTAAAGTTAATACTGTTGTTCCTACTTCATAAATGCAAATCTATTCTGATTTTGGTTGTCAACGGAAATGAAGAAGAAAGCATTTTCCAGGTCTGTAGTTCCATATTAGGTGCCTGAGGCTGTGTTAATGTGCTCCAGAGGAGATACTACACCTGGAATTGCAGGGTTTTTGTCATCACCACCTGATTAAATTTGTGATGATCTGTCATTTTTCCATGACTCGTCTGGCTTTTGTAGTGGCCAAACAAGGGCCCTAAGGAGACTAGCCACTGGCTTGGGAAGCAACTATTCAAGGTGTAGTCACTGAGAGACTTGTATGCAGAGCATGGATGACTGCTTCAGAGACTGGGGAAGGGTTGCCTTTTGAGGCAAAGGAAGTTCAGGGCAATTTGGAGGTTTGCAGTTCTCAGCCTCATGCATGTCTGCCTACATGTACCCATCCCAGTACTTCCCTGGTGGTTTAGTGGTTAAGACTCCAGGCTTCCACTACAGGAGGCACGGGTTGGATCCCTGGTCGGGGAGCTAACATCCTGCATGCTGTGCAGCACAGCCAATTAAAAAAAAATGTACCCATCCCTGGTCTCAGAGTTCCATTCCTTTCCACCAGTGCCCTTACCTTAGCATAATAGGCCTGGTGGGACTGACCATTTAATTGTCACTGTGACTCTGCAATTCACATGCTCAGCTACTAGATTTGGTATTAAGTCCAAGTATCTGCCTATAACCACAGGACATGGAAGGCTCCTCCAGAGCTCCATGGATGCATCCTGATTCTCTATGTATGTTCATGGGTGTTCTTTGCATATATTCACAACATTTAATTTCTTTTTTCCCTATGTATGCCGTAAAAGGAAGGGCCATAAAAAGAAGACAGGTCACTCTACAATCAGGTATGCTAAACTTGTTGCCATAGCAACTAAATGCCACTGTCAATTTAATCTCCCAATGTCTTCCTCACCATCTGTAGCTCATCCCATTGTATCACTCACTGGTGATAATCTGAGAAATTGTGATGCCACCGCATGTCATAGGTTACTCAGCATCCAGTCTTCTCCCCAAGCAAGGAATTATACCTGTGTTCCTTGAATATATTAGCAACATAATCCTAGAATTCCATTTTGAAGGTCTGTTTCCTGGGGCTACTTTTGGCAGCAATTACTGTACGAGGCAGGGTTCCAGCAAGAAACACGGAACACTAAAATTCGTATAATTTGAGGAAAGGTTAATAAAGGTACTAGTTAAGGAGGCGGGGGCAGGGTGCTGCCATCCCTAGGCCTGGAAGGCTGAGAAGAAGATTAGGTAGACAAAATGAGCAGAAATTCTGTGCATTCCTCCCATTGAGAAGTGGGGTCTAGGTCCCTTCCCCTTGAACGTGGGTGGATGTGTGACCTGCTTATAACCAACAGGATGTATTGCAAGTGATACTACATGACTTAAAAGACTAAATTAGAAAAGGTGACGTCATCTCCACCTTGCTAGTTGGGCCAGTCATGCTGGGAGAAGCTACTTCAGTCAACAGCCCCAGAGGTCACTCAACACCAACCACCAGACATACAAGTAGAGATGCTTCCAAATGATTCCAGCCCCTAGCTGTCACATCTTCCCAGCTGAGGCCCCAGATACTATGGAGCAGAGAGACAGGCCATCCCTGCTGTGCCCTGTCCAAAGTCCTGACCCACAGAATCCAAGAACAAAACGAAATGGGCTTTTCTTATGATGCTAAGTTTTGGGGTCATCGGCAACTCAGCGATAGTAACTGGGACATGTAGAGAAAACCACTTCGAGGGGAGCAGTGGCCTTCAGTGGAGAGTTACAGCCAAGGGAAGAAATACCCTGATATTCCACACATGCCAGGCTCACAGAAGAAGAGGCGCGGTAGCGAAGCAGGAAAACGGATCTGAAGGGGCAAACAGAAGTCATCTTGCATGGGGCCATTTTAGGATTTGAACCTTATTCTGAAGACAAGAGGGAGACATTGAAAGGTTTAGGCAGGGGACTGATAGTATGATCCCCAAAATGATGTGCAGCTTTTATTAGAGAAGAGACTAGAAACAGAAGAAGACTAGTTAGGAATGTAACATAATACGTCAAGTGTGAGGTGATGGGGCCTTGGGCTGTAGTAACAACTGTATAAATGAAACAGAAGAGATGGGAGAGGTGTTACCAAGGAAGAGTTGGCTGGATGTGTGGCTGTTCATCAGGGGGTACAAGAATGAGGGAAAAGTAGACGATGAAGCTACGGTTTTGAGCCCGCTTGCCCTTTTGTCACTGCAAACCTAGAATATCCATAAGCAAACTGACAATCTTATCAATCTACCCAGTCAGGAATCACATGTTTCTCTCAATAGAGCACCTGTTCATTTCTATTACCTATGAGATCCTTGATGCTACCACTTTTTTGTCCATATGTCCATAATCACTCCTATTGCCCATGAGTGGAAAATTCTTTTTTGGGGGGTTAAATTTGTAGAAGCTATGACTGTTTGTTCCATACCTGAAATCTGTCAAAAGCTCTTTAAAAGATTCATGCATTCTCTTAAAAGGACTAATTACATACCATTAAGGTCCCAGTGGAATTCCCTCGATAACTCCGCCACTGCTTTCCATCAAGGCTATACATGATGATAAATTGAGAGATGTAGAGGCTGGACAACTTCTGACGGGCGCCCTGGGTCATGATGCTGTGAATAATCATTGGTGTCAACAGATCCACCTACAGATGAAAACAACCCTTTATTTTAAATGTATGTACCACCTTCTGAAATCATTTATCAGCTTAAGAAGAATCTACATGGATACAGATACACCCAGTATAACCTTGGAGGTGCAGGTGAAGCAGAGACCAATGCTGAAATGTGGATGCATGTGAAGCTGTGGAATAAATGATGGGAACGTGTAGGAAATGTGCTCACTGAGTTCCCAGACTACTTCCTGACAAAGGAAATCACTTCCACATCATTGAGCTCCAATTTCCTCTGCACACATCCTTTGTGCTGCACAAATTTAGTGCGGCTTCTTCTCTGTTTCCATTTCACTTTATATATTATTTCATTATAGTAAATTATTGCACCACATTGTAAAGTTTTCATGCTTTTTGCCTTCCTTGTTAGACTGAGATCCTTAATGCAGTAAACCTGTCTGAGTCACCTAACCTCTCTATGTCTCAATTTCTTTATCTGTAAAGTGGAGGGAATGATGGCATTTATGGCAAAAGGTTACCAGAGGATTAAAGAGTTAATACATTACATGTGCTGAGCTCACTGCTGGCACATACGGAACAGTTACTACCTGTTAGCTTTTATATTCTCTCTAGCTCCAGCACCTAACGTAGCAACTGACGTAATACTGATGCTTAGCACATGTTTTGGAATGAATGAGTGAATAACAGTGGGTCTTAAAGAGGCGGGCATGGGTCATGCAAGCATTACAAGGCAGTAGCTATTACAGGAATTTTGACATCTGTTACTGCCCTAACAAGCCAGTCAAACTTAACTTCTCCCAGATGCCTGGCACACTCAGATTGGACTGGTCATGACTCTTGTGCTTAATGACTATCTTTTTCAGTTGACTGTAAGCTCCATCTATACATACACTCATTCATTCAAAGAATATATTTTTAGCATTTGTTATGTGCCAAGCACTGTTCTAGGTACTGGGAATAGAGTCGTGAACAATTAAAAAAAAAAAGAGTCCTAACACACCATTGTAAAGCAATTATACCCAAAAAAAGTTTTAAAAAAAAAAAAAGAGTCCTGCCCTCATTGAACTTAAATTTGAGTTGGGGAAACAGACGATATATTATATATATGTTTTATTTGTTTACAGCTACACAAAGAAACAGTACAGTTCAACATAAGTCATGATTTTGTACCCGGTACTTTCAGTTGCTTATGCCACTTATTGGCTGTGTGACATGGGACAAGTTATTTAACTTTTCTGTGCTTCACCTTCCTTATCTGAAATGAAGATTGTTGTGGTAGGGATTTAGTCGCTTGATTTGTTTTCAGTACATAGTAAGGAAGCCCTGTACACTTTAATATTTTGATCATGATTTTGATAAAGTATAAAAAAGTTTACTGATCAAGTCAGTAAACTGTGTGAAACTGGGAAGACTAGAGAATACTTTGGGAGACAGAGCTTGGCAAGCTGGAACAATGGCCAAATCTAAGAAGTGGAAATTTAATAGGCTGTATCACTCAGGGTTCTTTGGCTATGCTTGGAAAAGGTGCTCTGTTTACTAGTCTCATCAGACTGTATCCAGTGAGGCAGATGATAGATTTCCCCAAATAGAAATGAGGATGCTGTTACAAAAAGGAAATACATAGAACAGATGCAGGGCAGCCAAATAGATTAAAATGTCCACTATGTGGTGATACATATAAAGTTGAAAGTGATAACCACAGAAATACAAGGTGAGAACATCTGGTTTGGCAGCTTCACAAACAAAAAAAAATACTTAGGAATTAGCGAACAGTCAGCTCAAATTGAGTCATAATTGGCAGTGCCTACAAAACAAAAAAAAATGAGCTGATGTGGCATTAACAGATGTACTCTTTGTGTCTGCTTGCTGGTAAGCTAGCTCATCTTTCCCTGATCCCTATTTATTATTTTATTTTATTTTTTAAAATTAATTAATTTATTTATCTTTGGCTGCATTGGGTCTTCGTTCCTGCGCGCGGGCTTTCTCTAGTTGCAGCGAGCGGGGGCTACTCTTCGTTGCGGTGCGCAGGCTTCTCATTGCGGTGGGTTCTTGTTGCGGAGCACGGGCTCTAGGCGCGTGGGCTTCAGTAGTTGTGGCACGTAAGCTCATTAGGTGTGGCTCGCAGGCTCTAGAACGCAGGCTCAGTAGTTGTGGCACACTGGCTTAGCTACTCCGCGGCATGTGGGATCTTCCCGGACCAGGGCTCAAACCTGTGTCCCCTTCTTGGCAGGCGGATGCTTAACCACTGCGCCACCAGGGAAGTCCCCTATTTATCATTTTAACCTCAGGGAAAATAGGAGAGCAGATGCAATCTTGCAAAGGAGTAAAGTATGTAGGGGAATTCCCTCAGCTGACTGAGAAAAAGATGAAAGCTGACGGACTAGAAGAGGATGCAGGTGGGGGAAGTAGGTGGTAAAACGTGTGTAAATTAGTCCTGACTGATCACATGTTGACATGAAAATATTTTTGGATATTTCGGGTTAAAGAAAATGTATTATTATTATTGTTATTTTTTTGGCTGTGCTGTGTAGCTTGCAGGATCTTAGTTCCCCAACCAGGGATTGAACCCAGGCCCTCAGCACTGAAAGCACAGAGTCCTAACCACTGGACCACCAGGGAATTCCCAAGAAAATGTATTATTAAAATGATTTTCATTTTAATGAAAATCATTAAAATTTTAATGATGTTCCTTTTTTTAATGCAGCTACTAGAAAATGTAAAATTACATGTGTGGTTTGCATTTGTGGGTCACATTACATTTCTATTGGACAGCACTGCTCCAGAGGAAATGGGGAAGTGAGAAAATATGAAAGACTGGGTCATTTAAAAAGAAATTGAGTTAATCTAGGACACTTTCAGTTATGGCTCCAAGTTGGTTTATCAGATTGGACTAACTTCAGTAGGTGTTTCTTACTACTGGGTGGTGTAGAAATTGTGAAGAAGAAAGATTCAGTTTTAGAAAATGAAGAAGCCACATTTTCTTGGCTTGTGGGATGGGGGATTGAGCCATTTTTTTTGTATTAAAATGAAGGGACTGGAGGACTCAAGGACATCTAGGCAGTTGAAGGCATCTAAAGATAGAATACAGTCTTGGGAGGTGGTAAGTTCAATGTTATAGAAAATATTCAGAGATTCTAATCCCAACAGAAAGATTAAAAACACAGTGTACTCAATTCTATTCCTGAGTCTTTCATTCCTGACTCTTTTGGTACAAATCATAAGCCACTCTATTCTTCAGTTCTTTCCTCGTCTATTACATGGAGTTTGATGAAAATGACTTTGGTATAAAGGAGATATAAAACTATAAAACGCTTTGAGCTTGCAAGAGGAATGTGTGATGTGATGGAATGCGATGCATTTTCTAACCTTGATCCAGGAAAAGGGGTCCTTGGTGCTCCAGGCATTGATTGATCCAGAATAATGAAGTCTGGCCAGCTTTGGGGCCCACTGTCCTTTGCCCAAGAAAGGGGAGAGAGATTAGATTCAGCTGGGTTGGTCCTAGTCACTTAGGAATAAAATTACTCTCTTGAGAAAGGTTAATGCTAGCTGTGGAGACGTTAAAGGCATAAAGCATATTAGTATCAATGACTACCAATGTGGCCTGCGGGCTATAGATTGAGAACTCTCATCAATGACTACTACCAGGCCTGTCCTTGTTGTCCATTGTATTTTCTAAAATTTAATAATTTTGTTGATTGTTAGTACCTCTAGTTAGCTAATACTGGAATGTGTTACCATCACTATCAAATAATATTATTATTTCTTTATTACCTAATGTATGTTCACTAGAGAAAAATTAGAAAATAAAATATAAAACGTAAGTAAAAATAAAAATAAAAGAAGTAAAAAACACCATACTTCCGCCCAGAGAAAAATAACACTATTTTAGTATATAACTTTCAAGCCTCTTTTTCTTTCTTTCTTTTTTTTTTTTTTTTGCGGTACGTGGGCCTCTCACTGTTGCGGCCTCTCCCGTTGCGGAGCACAGGCTCCGGACACGCAGGCTCCGGACACGCAGGCTCAGCGGCCATGGCTCACTGGCCCAGCCGCTCTGCAGCATGGGGGATCCTCCCGGACGGGGGCACGAACCCATGTCCCCTGCATCGGCAGGTGGACTCTCAGCCACTGCGCCACCAGGGAAGCCCTCTTTTTCTTTTTTTTTTCGAAGTGGCCTTACTATTTGGTAATTCCTCCAGCAATTTGTTTGTTTGTTTTTCAAGCCTCTTTTTCAAATGCAATTTTTTCCCTCTAAAACAGAGTTTGGCCAACTTTTTTCTGTAAATAATTTAACCTTTGCAGATCATCTGGTCTTGTTGCAATTACTTAAATGCTGTTGTAGAGCAAAAGCGGCCACAGATGATTGTAAATGAAAGGGTGTGGCTTCTTTATGGACAGTGAAATTAGAATTTCATATAATTTTCACATGTCATGAAATATTATTCTTCTTTCGTTTTTTTCCCCCAATAATTTAAGAATAGAAAAGTGATTCTTAGCTTGAAGGCCATACAAAATCAAGTGATGGGCTGGATGTGGCCTGCGGGCTGTAGTTTGAGAACTCTCTCTAGGTCCAGTTCAAGCTTTCTATCACTGCTCACAGAAAAATGTAGCTTCTTGCTACAGTGAAGAGAATGGACTCAAGGGAAGCCATATGGAAGGCAGGCAGGACATTTAAGGAGGCAGTGGCATTACTCAGGTGAGAAGTGATGATGGCCTGAATTAAGATGCTCACACTGGGAAATGGAGAAGAGAAAATAGATTTGAAAGGCACCTATGGAGATGGATTGGTTATCTGAATCTTTCCAATAGAAATAAAAAAGATATAATCAGCCCAGTGCTTTAAGAGAAAGGAATAGTATTTACCATATTGTCCTGAAGCTGTAATCTGAAAATCTCTAATGCGTCCAGAAGCCATTCCCAGCGGAGTCTGACATTCTGAAATCACATGAAGGGAGCACAATAGTTAGAAGTGCAGAAAGTATAGCTGCACAAATGCAAGTCAATGAGAACACCAACAAATGCTCATATTTTTTAGTGTTTACTATGTGCCAAGAACTGTACTAAATATTTTATTGTACTATATCATTTAATTCACTCCAACAGGTAGGTGCTACTGCTACTCACATTGTGCAGCTGAGGAAACTAGGGTCAATACGTAAGTAGACCAGTGGTTCTCTTACTTGTTTAGGGTGAAAACTTAAATTCTTCCAAATGATATTTGTAAGTTATCTTTGGTAACTGAACCAAAACTAAGTTTCAAAATTTGCTCTTGGAGCTTCAGGGTCAAAGTGTTCAAAGCTTCAAGCATATCTGCCCTCCTCTGAGGACTCTGATGATTTCTACCAGCAATATTCATTTTAGATTTGGAAATGACTGTGAGCTGGTATTCATTTCCTGACAAAAGCAACCGTCCTAGGAAGGGGGAAAGAGGTATAGAGGTAGGTGCCACTCACTCTTGTTGTACACCAGGAAAAGAGTGCTCATCCCAGCTTGCAGGTGTTCGCCAATAAGACATTCTATCCGCCAAATTCCAACTTTGGATGGTAGCATTTCCACTGTCTCAAAAACACCTTATCAAAACCAAAAGGAACAAAAATTATTTCTTTTCACACAAATGGGCATAAGATACACTGGCTTATGCAGAATATCAAAGGAGATCTACCCAAGTCAGTTGCACCATTCTTGGACCCCTCAAACCCACAGTGCTTGGCATGTGACCCCTACAGGTGGAGGCCCTGGAAATTGAGTGCTGACCCCAGGAAATGGGAGAGACTGGGTGACGGGATGCTTTGGTGGTGGAGACAGGAGAAAGATTGGCCTGCACTCAGTGCTTTTCGAAGCCAGAGGTGTATTTCTCATTGACGAGATGTGGGCTCCCTGCCTTGAGGGGTAAAGTAACTCCAGAAGCAAGAAGCTAGAGGGTGAATGATGAGGGGCTGAGGAATCAGTCACAGTGACCACCCAGAATAAAGGTGGAAACAACCAGGTCAAGGGGATTTCATGAGGGACGGTCCCAAAAGGGAGTCTCTGAAGAGCCCCTGAAAGTACCCCACCAAAAAAAGAGTCAGATTGAAATATCTGCCTGGTGCAGACAGTGGTGCCATCCCTCACCTCTACCCTTGCCACGCTGCAGTTCAGATCAGCAACCAGCCAGGAGTGGAGGGGGAAGCATAAGGTAGAGAAACAGAAAACTCAACCAACTTGGAGGAGGAGATACTGAACTTAAATCAAGTTCAGAATTTTGATTAATATCTTGGAGTAGACATTGTAATTTGTGACCTGAACTACATTTGTGATGTAAAGTGACTGCAGAACTGTTTATTACTTAAGAGTGAGCAGAGTATGGTAGGAGGAGCTTCAAGATGGCAGAGGAGTAAGACGTGGAGATCTCCTTACCCCCCCAAATACATCAGAAATACAACTACATGTGGAACAACTCCTACAGAACACCTACTGAACACTGGCAGAAGACCTCAGACCTCCCAAAAGGCAAGAAACTCCCCACGTACCTGGGTAGGGCAAAAGAAAAAAGAAAAAACTGAGACAAAAGGATAGGGACGGGACCTGCACCAGTGGGAGGGAGCTGTGAAGGAGGAAAGGTTTCCACACACTAGAAGCCCCTTCGCAGGTGGAGACTGCGGGTGGCGGAGGGGGGAGCTTCGGGGCCGTGGAGGAGAGCGCAGCCACAGGGGTGCGGAGGGCAAAGTGGGGAGATTCCCGCACAGAGTATCGGTGCTGACCAGCACTCACCAGCCCGAGAGGCTTGTCTGCTCACCCGCCGAGGCAGGCGGGGCTGGGAGCTGAGGCTCAGGCTTCGGTCGGAGTGCAGGGAGAGGACTGGGGTTGGCATCATGAACACAGCCTGAAGGGGTTAGTGCACCACGGCTAGTGCACTGCAGGCTCGCCCCGCAACCGTACCCCTCCCTCCCCCTGGCCTGAGTGAGCCGGAGCCCCCTAATCAGCGGCTCCTTTAACCTCGTCCTGTCTGGATGGGGAAGAGACGCCCTCAGGAGACCTACACGCAGAGGCGGGGCCAAATCCAAAGCTGAACCCCGGGAGCTGTGCGAACAAAGAAGAGAAAGGGAAATCTCTCCCATCAGCCTCAGAAGTAGCGGATTAAAGCTCCACAATCAACTTGATGTACCTGCATCTGTGGAATACATGAATAGACAACGAATCATCCCAAATTGAGGAGGTGGACTTTGGGAGCAACTGTAGACTTGGGGTTTGCTTTCTGCATCAATTTGTTTCTGGTTTTATGTTTATGTTAGTTTAGTATTTAGAGCTTATTATCACTGGTATATTTGTTTATTGATTTAGTTGCTCTCTTCCTTTATATATATATATATTTTTTTCCTGTTTCTCTTTTTGTGAGTGTGTATGTGTATGCTTCTTTGTGTGATTTTGTCTGTATAGCTTTGCTTTTACCATTTGTCCTAGGGTTCTGTCTGTCCATTTTTTTTTAGTATAGTTTTTAGCACTTGTTATCACTGGTGGATTTGTTTATTGGTTTGGTTGCTCTCTTCTTTTTTTAAATTGATTTTTAATTTTAATAATTTTTTAAAATTTTAATAATTTAATTTTATTTATTTATTTTCCTTCTTTCCTTTTTTTCTCCCTTTTCTTCTGAGCCATGTGGCTGACAGGGTCTTGGTGCTCCCGCTGGGTGTCAGGCCTGAGCCTCTGAGGTAGGAGAGCCGAGTTCAGGACATTGGACCACCAGAGACCTCCCGGGCCCATGTAATATCATACGGCGAGAGCTCTCCCAGAGATCTCCATCTCAACGCTAAGACCCAGCTCCACTCAATGACTAGCAAGCTCCAGTGCTGGATGCCCCATGCCAAACAACTAGTGAGACAGGAACACAACCCCACACATTACACCTAAATCAATTAGAAAAAGAAGAACAAAAAACCCCAACGTTAGCTGAAGGGAAGAAACCATAAAGATCATATCAGAAATAAATGAAAAGGAAATGAAGGAAACTATAGCAAAGATCAATAAAACTAAAAGCTGGTTCTTTGAGAAGATAAACAAATATTGATAAACCATTAGCCAGACTCATCAAGAAAAAAAGGGAGAAGACTCAAATCAATAGAATTATAAATGAAAAAGGAGAAGTAACAACTGACACTGCAGAAATACAAAGGATCATGAGAAACTACTACAAGCAACTATATGCCAATAAAATGGACAACCTGGAAGAAATGGACAAATTCTTAGAAATGCACAACCTTCCGAGACTGAACCAGGAAGAAATAGAAAATATAAACAAACCAATCACAAGCACTGAAATTGAAACTGTGATTAAAAATCTTCCAACAAACAAATGCCCGGAACCAGATGGCTTCACAGGCGAATTCTATCAAACATTTAGGGAAGAGCTAACACCTATCCTTCTCAAACTCTTCCAAAATATAGCAGAGGGAGGAACACTCCCCAACTCATTCTACGAGGCCACCATCACCCTGATACCAAAACCAGCCAAGGATGTCACAAAGAAAGAAAACTACAGGCCAATATCACTGATGAACATAGATGCAAAAATACTCAACAAAATACTAGCAAACAGAATCCAACAGCACATTAAAAGGATCATACACCATGATTAAGTGGGGTTTATCCCAGGAATGCAAGGATTCTTCAATATATGCAAATCAATCAATGTGATAATCCATATTGACAAATTGAAGGATAAAAACCATATGATCATCTCAATAGATGCAGAAAAAGCTTTTGACAAAATTCAACGCCAATTTATGATAAAAATGCTCCAGAAAGTAGGCATAGAGGGAACTTACCTCAATCATATATGGGCCATATATGGCAATATATGGCCACATATAACAAACCCACAGCCAACATCATTTTTAATGGTGAAAAATTGAAACCATTTCCACTAAGATCAAGAACAAGACAAGGCTGCCCACTCTCACCACTATTATTCAACATAGTTTTGGAAGTTTTAGCCACGGCAATCAGAGAAGAAAAGGAAATAAAAGGAATCCAAACTGAAAAAAAGAAGTAAAACTGTCACTGTTTGCAGATGACATGATACTATACACAGAGAATCCTAAAGATGGTACCAGAAAACTACTAGAGCTAATCAATGAATTGGGTAAAGTAGCAGGATACAAAATTAATGCACAGAAATCTCTGGCATTCCTATACACTAATGACAAAAATATCTGAAGAGAAATTACAGAAACACTTCCATTTACCATTGCAACAAAAAGAATAAAATACCTAGGAATAAACCTACTTAAGGAAACAAAAGACCTGTATGCAGAAAACTATAAGACACTGATGAAAGAAATTAAAGATGATACAAACAGATACAGAGATATACCATGTTCTTGGATTAGAAGAATCAACATTGTGAAAATGACTATACTGCCCAAAGCAATCTACAAATTCAATGCAATCCCTATCAAACTACCAATGGCATTTTTCACAGAACTAGAACAAAAAATCTTAAAGTTTGTATGGAGACACAAAAGACCCCGAATAGCCAAAGCAATCTTGAGAAAGAAATACGGAGGTGGAGGAATCAGACTCCCTGACTTCAGATTATACTACAAAGCTACAGTCATCAAGACAGTATGGTACTGGCACAAAAACAGAAATATAGATCAATGGAACATGATAGAAAGCCCAGAGATAAACCCACGCACATATGGTCACCTTATCTTTGAAAAAGGAGACAAGAATAGACAATGGAGAAAAGAGAGCCTCTTCAATAAGTGGTGCTGGGAAAACTGGACAGCTACATGTAAAAGAATGAAATTAAAACACTTTCTGGGCTTCCCTGGTGGCGCGGTGGTTGAGAGTCCGCCTGCCGATGCAGGGGACACGGGTTCATGCCTCGGTCCGGGAAGATCCCACATGCTGCAGAGTGGCTGGGCCCGTGAGCCATGGCCGCTAAGCCTGCGTTTCCGGAGCCTGTGCTCCACAACGGGAGAGGCCACAATAGTGAGAGGCCCGCGTACCGCAAAAACAAACAAAAAAAACCACTTCCTAACACCATACACAAAAATAAATTCAAAATGCATTAAAGACCTAAATGTAAGGCCAGACACTATAAAACTCTTAGAAGAAAACATAGGCAGAACACCTTATGACATAAATCACAGCAAGATCCTTTCTGACCCACCTCCTAGAGAAATGGAAATAAAAACAAAAATAAACAAATGGGACCTAATGAAACTTCAAAGCTTTTGCACAGCAAAGGAAACCATAAACAAGACCAAAAGACAACCCTCAGAATGGGAGAAAATATTTGCAAATGAAGCAACTGACAAAGGATTAATCTCCAAAATTTATAAGCAGCTCATGCAGCTTAATAACAAAAAAACAAACAACCCAATCCAAAAATGGGCAGAAGACCTAAATAGACATTTCTCCAAAGAAGATATACAGACTGCCAGCAAACACATGAAAGAATGCTCAACATCACTAATCATTAGAGAAATGCAAATCAAAACTACAATGAGATATCATCTCACACCAGTCAGAATGGCCATCATCAAAAATTCTAGAAACAATAAATGCTGGAGAGGGTGTGGAGAAAAGAGAACCCTCTTGCACTGCTGGTGGGAATGTAAATTGATACAGCCACTATGGAGAACAGTATGGAGGTTCCTTAAAAAACTACAAATAGAACTACCATATGACCCAGCAATCCCACTACTGGGCATATACCCTGAGAAAACCATAATTCTAAAAGAGTCATGTACCAAAATGTTCATTGCAGCTCTATTTACAATAGCCCAGAGATAGAAACAACCTAAGTGTCCATCATCGGATGAATGGATAAAGAAGATGTGGCACATATATACAATGGAATATTAGTCAGCTATAAAAAGAAATGAAATTGAGCTATTTGTAATGAGGTGGATAGACCTAGAGTCTGTCATACAGAGTGAAGTAAGTCAGAAAGAGAGAGACAAATACCATATGCTAACACATATATATGGAATTTAAGAAAAAAAATGTCATGAAGAACCTAGGGGTAAGACAGGAATAAAGACACAGACCTACTAAAGAATGGACTTGAGGATATGGGGAGGGGGAAGGGTAAGCTGTGATAAAGCAAGAGAGAGGCATGGACATATATACATTACCAAACGTAAGGTAGATAGCTAGTGGGAAGCAGTTGCATAGCACAGGGAGATCAGCTCGGTGCTTTGTGACCGCCTGGAGGGGTGGCATAGGGAGGGTGGGAGGGAGGGAGATGCAAGAGGGAAGAGATATGGGAACATATGTATATATATAACTGATTCATTCTGTTGTAAAGCAGAAACTAACACACCATTGTAAAGCAATTATACTCCAATAAAGATGTTAAAAAATATATATGTAGGGGGCTTCCCTGGTGGCGCAGTGGTTGAGAGTCTGCCTGCCGATGCAGGGGACACGGGTTCGTGCCCCGGTCCGGGAAGATCCCACATGCTGCGGAGCGGCTGGGCCCGTGAGCCATGGCCGCTGAGCCTGCGCGTCCGGAGCCTGTACTCCGCATCGGGAGAGGCCATAACAGCGAGAGGTCCGTGTACCGCAAAAAAAAAAAAATAATAATAATAATAAAAAATATATGTAGGAAGTGTTTTTAATGACATAAGAAATGTTTATGACATATTTATTTAAAAAAGAAGGATGATCCATTGTGTAATTTTGAATACATAAAGAGAATACATAGGAAAAACATAAGAACAGACAGCAAAATGATAATTATGGTATTATTTTTCAACTTCCTTATTTTCTATACTTTAAACTTTTTCAAAAGTGAGAATACATTATTTTTATTTAAAAAAATTATTGGAGTATAGTTGATTTACAATGTTGTGTTCATTTCAGGTGTACAGCAAAGTGAATCAGTTATACATATACATGTATCCACTCTTTTTTTTTTTTTTTCAGTACGCGGGCCTCTCACTGTTGTGGCCTCTCCCGTTGCGGAGTACAGGCTCCCGACGCGCAGGCTCAGTGGCCATGGCTCACGGGCCCAGCCGCTCCGCGGCATGTGGGATCTTCCCATACCGGGGCACGAACCCATGTGCCCTGCATCAGCAGGCGGACTCTCAACCACTGCGCCACCAGGGAAGCCCTATCCACTCTTTTTTAGATTCTTTTCCCATATAGGTCATTACAGAGTATTGAGTGGAGTTCCCCGTGCTATACAGCAGGTTCTTACTAGTTATCTATTTTATATATAGTAGTGTGTATATGTCAATCCTGATTTCCCAATGTATCCCTCCCTCCCTCCTTCCCCCTTGGTAACCATAAGTTTTGTTTTCTACAACTGTGACTCTATTTGTTTTGTAAATAAATTCATTTGTACCCTTTTTAAAGATTCCATATATAAGCAATATCTTATGATATTTCTCTTTCTCTGTCTGACTTCACTCAGTATGACAATGTCTAGGTCCATCCATGTTGCTACAAATGGCATTATTTCATTCTTTTTTATGGCCATTATTTTTAGAATCAGAAATCTAAAACACACACACGGGATTAATTTTCTTGTAATTTTATTGTCCTCAACTTACCATGATGTTGTCTTCGACTTCTGCTCTTATATATGGTCCCAAGAGTCCCAAATGTTCATTTAGTTCTCCGCGGTATAAGGGCTGAGTAAAGGAGCCATCAGCATATTCCTCAAATACCACCTTTTTGAACTGAGGGACACCTCCATTCTCAGCTCTGGAGAAAAAAAGCAGAGGAAAAGCAATATCCTCATGGACCAGGTGGGTAGAAATGCCTCACATTGTTGTGTTCCCTGTATTTGAGATACATTTGGTAGAATTGATGATGAATTGGAAATGTAATGGAGAAGGGAGGGAGAAAGAGGAATTAGATATAACCTCCCGGTTTCTGATTTGGGCAAATGGATGGATGGTGATGCAGTTCACTGAGATGGAGAACCCTAGAAGGGTAGGTTGCTGTATACAGTTTTGGACACATGGGGTATCTATGGGAATTATATTGGGAAATACATGGAGACTGGCAGTTCACAAAAGAGGTCTAGATGAAGATCATCTATATTTAGGTGGTAACAAAATCATGCAAGTGGCTTATCAAAGCCAATAGTCAATTTTATGTCCTCATCTTACTCAACATCTAAGCAACATTTTGCATAGTTAACCACTCCATCCTCCTTGACATACTCTCTCCAGGCTTCTCTAGTATATAAGATCCATGAAAGCAGGGGGATTTGTCTGTTTTGTCCACTGTTGTACTCCCAGCAGCTGGAATAAGTGCCTGCCACATAGTAGGTGCTCAAATAGTAGGTGTTGAACGTTGAATGGATGTAGGGTTTATAAACATACTCTAAATAATGAGAGCCTCAGTGTTCAGTCCTTGGACCACTTTTCTTTGCTTTTTAAAAATTCTGTTAAAACTGTGAACTAAAACTATACAATAAAGTGCATAAAACATAAATGCTTTTGATACAAAAAATGCAACCACCACTAAGATCAAGAACTTTGCCAGCAGCCCAGAAGACTCACTGTTATCTGCCTTTTCAATCACATCCTCTCCCTTCCCACTAAGTGTAACCCCCATTCTGATGTTTATAACTATTTATTTGATTTTGTTCATAACTGTACCACTTATGTATACATACCTAAAGAATATAGCTTAGTTTTGCCTATTTTTGAAGTATGCAAATGGAACCATACCGCATACATTCTTTTGTTTGTGATTTTTTTACTCAGCATCATGGTTGTGATTCGTCTATGTTGTTGTGTGTAGCTATAGTTTGTTCATTCCTATTGTTGTATAGTATTCCATTGTGTGAATATAACGCAATCATGTGCATTTGAGTAATTTTTGGTGCTTATACATAGTCCTGCTATGAACCTTCGTATGAATTTCTTCTGGGCACATATCTAGGAGTGGAACTGCACCATTTTCCATTTTCATCAGCAATGTATGAGAGTTCCATTTGCTCCAAATCTTCACAAACACTTGACATTGACTGTGTTTTTACATTTTTGGCCATTCTACTGGTTGCATAGCAGTGTCTCTGTGGTTTTATTTTGCATTTCCCTGATTAATAATGAGGTTAACTTCTTATGGGTAGTAGCCATTTGGATTTCCTCTTGTGGAATTGCCTATCCAAGTTTGTTTTCTTCTTTTTTGTACCAATTTTTCTATTGGATAGTCAGCCTTTTTTTCTTATTGATTCAAAGGAGTACTCTATATATTCTTTTTTTTTTTAATTTTTTGCGGTACGCGGGCCTCTCACTGTTGTGGCCTCTCCCATTGCGGAGCACAGGCTCCGGACATGCAGGCTCAGCGGCCATGGCTCACGGGCCTAGCCGCTCCGCGGCATGTGGGATCTTCCCAGACCAGGGCACGAACCCGTGTCCCCTGCATCGGCAGGCGGACTCTCAACCACTGCAGCACCAGGGAAGCCCCTCTATATATTCTTGATATAAGTCTTCGTTGGCCTTTTGTGCTGCAAACATCTTCCCTTCTGTGGCTATTTTTTCATTCTCTTTTTGTTATCTTTGGATGAGCATAAAGTCATAATTTTAATGTAGTGAAATTTATTTAAAAATTCTTCATGGTTAGTGCTTTTTGTATCTTGATATCAATTCTCTTTCTTTTCCTACCCTGAAGTTATTAAGATATTCTTTTACTTTTTTTCTTTCTAAGAGATTTAAGGTTTTATATTTATGTTTAGACTTGTAACCCACTGTTAGTGGATTTTTGTGTATAGTGTGAGTTAGGGATCCAGTTTAATGTATTTCCATATGGATATCAAAAAATTTCAGCACATTTATTGAAAACTGCTCTTCTGTGACACCTTTTCCATAAATCAAATGCCTATAAATGTGTGACTCTAGTTTTGGATTTTCTGTTCTCTTTCACTGACCTATTTGTTTACTCCTAAGCCAATTATCACATTACTATAGCTTTAAAATAAGTCTCAATATGTTATACAGCAATTCCTCCTATCTTGTTCCTTTTCCTCAAGAGGGTCTTGGCTATTCTTGGTGCTTTGCATTTTCTTAGTAACTTTAAAATCAGGCTTGTTGAGTTCTGCAAGAGAAAATACTTGTTGAGATTTTCACATAGGTTGTGCCGAATCTATAGATCGGTTTGGGGATAGTTTACATTTTCATAATATCGTATTTTCCAGTACATGTACATGGTATATCTTGGCATCTACTTAGGTCTTCTTTAAAGTTTCCCAATAAATTTCCATAGGTTTTTCCATAGAGGTCTTGACAAATTTTTGTCATACTTATTTCTACGTACTTGTTACTATTTCATTCCATTGTAAATGACATGTTCTTTTAATTTCATTTTCTACCTGTCTGCTGCTACTATATCGATATATAATAGATTTTGTATATTGATTTTCAATTCTACAAACCTGCTAACCTTCCTAGTTAATTCTAATCACTTATTTGTAAACATTTTTTATATGTATAAAATCATATCATCCGTACTCAAGGACAGTTTTATTTCTTTCTTTTCAACCTTTATACCTTTTATATGTGTTTACTGCTTGAGTGTTCAGTACAGTATTGAATAGAAGTGATGATAATGATTGAGAATTTATCTATTTCTCTATTTAAGTCTGTCAAGTTTTGCTTTATGTATTTTAAAACTATATTATTAGGTTCATAGTAATTTAGGAATGTATGGCTGCCTATTGAATTGACTGTTTTATTATTATAACATTTCCTCCTTATCTCTACAAACCTCTTGCTTTAAAGTTTCCTTTCTACTTAACTGAGTACTTAGATTTTTAAAAAATATTTATTTATTTATTTGGTTGCACTGGGTCTTAGTTGCAGTTCGCCGGCTCCTTAGTTGCGGCATGTGGACTCCTTAGTTGTGGTTTCTTGCTTATTTTTCTTGTTTTATTTCATACCCAGTATCTTTGTGTGCTAGAAGTTGTATCTGGAATATTTGTGAAAATAACTTGAGGCCTAGAATGTTGGTTTCTTATACTAGAGAGGTTTTATGTATTCTTCAGCCAGATGTCTGCAGGCACTGCCAATCCAAGACATGCTTAAATTTTGATCAAGAATAGAGATTTCATGGACAACACAGATGACAAAAAACTGGGCTGTAAGTCAATGAAGTGCAAGTTAACTGGTTTACCATTACTTTGAGGATGTAGCCCTTTGGGGACCTAGCATAAAGTGGGCACGGTTTACATCTACTTTTACTCCCATATCATCCCATCAAGTCTTATTTGAATGCTATTAATAAGCTCATAACTCCTAAATTTATATCTTTAGCACAGACTTCTTCCTTGGATTCCAGACTCATATATCTAACTGCCTACTCAACATCTCAACTTGGGGACTTCCCTGGTGGTCCAGTGGTAAAGAATCCACCTTCCAATGCAGGGGACATGGGTTTGATCCCTGGTCGGGGAACTAAGATCCCACATGCCATGGGGCAACTAAGCCCATGTGCCACAACTACTGAGCTCGCAAGCCTCAACTAGAGACCCCATGTGCCACAAACTACAGAGCCCACGTGCCCTGGAGCCAGCATGCCACAACTAGAGAGAAGCCCGCACGCCACAACGAAGAGCCCATGCGCTGCAATGAAAAGATCCTGCATGCCTCAATGAAGATCCCGCGTGCTGCAACTAAGACCCAATGCAGCCAAAAAAAATTAAAAGAAATTTTTAAAAAACTCAACTTGGATCTCTAATAGGCATCTCAAATTAAATATGTACAAAACAGACCCTTGAGTGTTTCCTCAAATAAATCTGTTCTGCTTCAAGCCTTCCACATCTCATTAAATGTCACTATCATCCACCTAGTTGCTCAGGACAAAACCCGAAAATCTTCTTTGAGTCTTCTCTCACCATTCCTCTCCATACTCAATCTAACAGCAAGCCCTCTCTGCTTATCTTTAAATTATAATCAACATCCTTACATTCCTTTTGATTTTCACCACCACTACCCTGTTCTAATCAATAGCTTGATCGATGCTGGTGAGACTAATCCGGTGGAGAGTGAGAAACTGATGATGTAAGAGAGAACAAGGGACTTGCTGAAGCAACGTTTTTTATGAAGGGAGAAAGAATGGGATCGAGTGCAAAACTGGACAGTATATTGGTACAGATGTCAGTAAATGTGGTGTTGGAAGTCTGTGGAGTTCAGTGCAAAGCATCAGCTAGGAGTGAGAAGGGGTGTTGGAGAATGGGAAAAACGTGTTGGAGACTTAGGGAAAAAGCAGAAAATGTAAGATAGAGGTCCAGGAGAGCAGGAAATATTCTACGGTTGCTGTGCAGCAATAAGGGCTCATTTGAGGTAGAAAGCAAGGCTGGGAAGTGACAATGACTAATGAAGAGGGATAGCATCTACCCTTCCTCTAGGTCCTATATTATCTGACCACTACTCATCTCTGCCAACTCATCTCCCTACCCCTGCACACACTTCCTTACTGTACTACATTCATGTTGGTCCTTTTTTGTTCCTCAAACATGCTAAACTTGTTTCATTCTCAGGGCCTTTGCATTTCCTGTCCCCTCTGCCGGAAATGTCTTCTCTCAGACCTCTGTTAGCTGACCTCTTATCATCATTTAGGTCTCAACTCCACAAAGAGAATTTCTCTGACCATTACAGCTAAAGTAACACCCCCGTCACTCTACCATATTATTCAAGTCTACCTTTTGAACGGCACCAAGATTCCCCTATTTAGTTTTCTACTAATTTATTGTCCCTTGCTCTCCTAAGTAGAATGTAGGCTCCTACTTTGCTGCACTCCAGTGTCTATGCAAGTGTCTGGCATATAATAGGTGCTCAATAAATATTGGTTGACTGATTGACTCTCCTTATGTTTATCTTCCAAATGTCTCTGTGCTTTCTCTCCCCTGCCCAACCTCCCTCTGCTCCCCTAACAATCAAATCCTCCCACTTTGCCCTCTGGATCCCCAGTACTATGGAAAACAACTTTCCCTGCATCCTCAATCTCTTTACCACACACTTCACTGCTTCCTCCTGCCTCTATCAGGGCTCTCTCAGGAGACTAAACCTTACCCTGCAGCTCATAGGGCTGATAGGTGAGGCTGACTTTCTTCCTGCTCCCCATGGCTCTTTTGACCCCCCTACCCTTTTGTAGACGCCTCTTCTTCACCATCCCACCAGAGTGAGTTTCATGCCATCTGGGTTTACCATCCCGTAACTCTCACTGTTAGTGTCATCACCTAATCTCCCATTTGCTCCTCAGCTTCATCTAGACTTTGCCATCTGGTTCTCAGTTTCCTCAGTCTTTGGAGTCTCACTGCTGGTTGTGCCTTTCCTATTGTTTCAGCACCTGGTAAAATCAAAGGTCACAACAGTAGGACAAAGGAATAATCAATGTACCCATACCTGTTTCTTAGTGCATGGGGGGATCTATTCATCCCATAATCCCAGAGCCGCTCCACTGCAGCAATAAAATAGTGTCGCGTTCTCTTTTGAAAGCTGCGGGGGTCCTGATTTTCACCCTCATCATAAATGTCAAAATCTTCTCTCTTCGTATCAAGTGAGAAAGTATCATCATAGTCAATTTTGTCTTCCTCTGGCTGAAAAGTAGTAAGGGTTATTTCCCTTTGATGGCGTTTCAAGACTGGTGGATTTTGAGACCACAACCTTCCAGCCCCTCCTTGCTTTACCCAGGTGGCTTCTCTTTGGGTCTTATCTTGTACTTCATTTATTGCTGCTATTGAATGATTGTTTTCACAAGGGTCCAGGGGCAAAATGATGTCTTTTGTCTTAAAAGCTCTGTGTTTTTGTGACTTCTCTAGGGATTTATCTTCTCTTGGTATCAGGGTAGCATATTGGTTATCCCAAGCAAGGGGACCCAGCAGCTTGGGGGGAGTATTTTCAGAGCTTTCTGTTGCCCATTTCAGAAAGGGCACTTTTCCAGGTCTATTTACTTTATTCAATTTAACAAGTCCCTGTGTTTTCTGAAGGAATATCTCTTCCCTGAGATCCAGGTGGGCAGGAGAACCATTGCTAGTTTTTGTATGGAAAAAGTCTTCCTGATGAACAACTTTGCCAGATGCTTCAGGCAATCCTGGTTTCAAGAGAACAGTGTTCTCAAGTTTCTTGTACATGAGTAAGTTTGTGGCCCGTTTCCCTAGGGCGCTGATATTTCTTTGACCTCCAATCACTTCCAAGGTTAGGAAGGCTAAAGAAAGGTTATTTCTCTTGGCTCCTTGTAAGAAATGACTGCTTTCTTGGACCCCAGAACTCCTTTCCACAAAGCTATAACTACAGGCGGATGCTGGAGGATGAGAAGAGTTGTCTTGGGATGGAATCTTGGTCACATCTGTAGGTCTAATTGATGGGAATACTGATACCTGTGCAATGGGTAATGCAGAGCCATTTGTTTGAATGTCATGACTCCTCATAGAACAATCTGATAAGAATGACTGAATAATGGCCCTTTTCTCCTTCCTGTTGTACTCTATCTGTGTGACGGTGCCCTGGGTCAAATATTTCATGTTTTTGGACCACTGAGTTGAGGTGTCATTCAAAATTACCCCCCTTTCAAACTTTATTTCTTCCAGTGGGAGTCTGAATTGCTTCAAATCCCGCTTATCACGTTGAGGTATAGCCTTCTGCTGACTTGGAATAGGAGACATCTTTGTGGTGCTTGGATATTTATCTAGCATTTTCTTTGTTTGATTTCCCAAGTCTTCCAAATTTGCTTCCTCCGTTATTTTTGAGAAATGGGCCATGTGAATCCCTGCTCTTTTTGCTGAGCCATTCAATGACCTGGTGTCTTGAAGTACTGGAGAATATGTCTCCTCATCTAAACCTTCTACATTTTGCTTAGTGCTTAGTGAAAAAAGGTTCTTCAGAAAATTCTTAGTTCCAGTCACTGTATACACCTGAGGCAAAACTACATTCTCTTGGATTAATTTTTCTTTCCTTTCTATCGCTTCCTGAGACTTTTTTTCTTGATTCTGTGTATCATTTTCTTGGACATTAGCCAAGTTAGTAAGAAATACGTTCTTGCTATTTGGAAAAATCATCGCTTTAAGACCTGTGCCCTTGCTAAATTCATCCTCTCCTACTACCACCTTATTCTTCTCTGACAAGAAATTCTGATCTTTCACAGATTTTTCTGATCCCGAAGATGTTAATTGCTTTGGATTGGGCCTTTGCCCAGAACTTAGGGAGTTCTTGCCATGGGTCCTTTTTATCCAATTTGTTGAATCTGGCAAGAACAGAGTCTTGAAGAACGATGTATCTGGATATTCCGCATCTAGTGGCACAGAGCCTTCTTTGTTTTGGTGGACCATTTCCATATTTTTTGACGAAGTAGTTTTATTTGACACATGATTTAGTCCCAAAGCTGTAGTATTTTTGTCCATAAACATTTCATTATGAATTAAGGAAGTTACTTCTTGAAACTCAGTATTACTTTCTAACATAATATCTTGCCAAGCTGATGTACTATTCTCAATTAATAATGCTGGGTCATCAATGTGAGTCTTTGTATTAGTTGTTGAGTTAACTGGTGCCTTGTTTGTCTTTACTAAAGAGATATTAACTTGAAATAAAGCATCATCTTTGGTCAATGAAGCAGGTCCACGAACTCTTTCCTCTTTAAATAACCTATCACTCTCCACTGATAATACATTTTCTCCCAGTGAACTTTCTTGACTATTTGTTAAAACTGCTTCTAATGACTTGGAATCATTATCTTCTTTACTCAAGCCCAAAGGTACACCAGACCCAATAAAGTGAGATGAATTTTTGCCAAATACAATGGCACCTAATTGACTACTAAAATTAACTGGCATATTTGGGGGTCCTAAGGAACCTGTCTTTTCAGTACCTGCTGACAACTTGTCTGATGGAATTGTTGGTGGAGTCATTAGGTTGTTCGATGAACTAGAAATTTTAAAATCAAGTTTCTTCAACTCTACTGTTATAGTTGTCCCCAAATTCTCATTCAATCTTAACGGCAGCTCTGGCTCAGGCGTAGATACTCTTTTCCCACTGTGATGGAGCTCTGGTGTGAGATGTACCACTTCAGACGGGTGCTTGTTTCTTTCTACTGCTCTAGGTAAATGATCATTAGCCTTATTTCTGGCTTCTTGGAGATCAGATAAGGATAATCCATGTGGAGTAGGATTCTGTCCCAAGAGCACCAACAAATCACTAGAGGAGACACTTTGTTCTTTAAGCAGCTGCATTCTCTCTCCAAACTGAGGGTCAGTCTTCTCTACATCATTCTCTGGAGTTGTGGTGGCTTTGAATTGCATTTGCCTAGTGCTAGGGTGCCTTGAATTCTGGGAGAAGCTTCTGGGTTCAATGACATTGTTTTCATTCAGCAAGAAGGTTGGAATATCTTCATATGTGTCCTCATAATAATCACCAGTGTTCCTGTCACAACTATAAACCTTCAGTAAGGCTGTCATGCCTCTGTTCCGAAAGTCTGAGTTGTGGCACCCCAGAACCCACAGACCTGGAGATGAGGAAGAATAAGACTCTGGTTACTCATAACCCAGGTCCCAAGCAAGATCTGTGTTAGAGGTTCTCTTCTATTCCCAGATAAATGAAAAAATACTACTCAGTACCATTATATTGCAGGTTGTTAGGTTAAGTCCCTGACACATGGAACAGTAGTACAACAATGGTAGTAAAAGTGGTTTTGCATTGCTGCTGTTGTGGTATATCTGTTTGTGACCACAAGAAAGGGCTGTGATTTAAAATGAATATATATATATATGGATAAAAATGGAGAAATGTAATTATACACAATAGTGGAGAGTCTTACTAGTCACACAGAACTCTTTGGTGACAAGGGAGCAGGACTTAGGTTTAGGATACAAATAACATAAAATCCCACCACAGTTCTAGCAATATTAATTTCTACTATGAACAGGATTATCTGAGTAAAAGAATTTCATGGTGGTAAAGTATATGCATAAACATAAATGAAAACAAATACACCTTTACTAAGCTATCCATCAGGTACCTGAACAGTCTCATCAAGCCACAATATTTGCAAGCAAAATCTTAACTGAATACAGCTTTTCCTCAAAGAGAAAACTTTTCTCAAAGTATATTTCCACAGAGCCCTATGAGACAATGGGATGCCCATGGAAAAGGTTCCTGTGGTCAAACATTCTGGAATTAATGCACACTGCAATCTATGTGCAGCCAGATAATCACTCGAATGGGAAATGAGAATAAAGAGATTTTCTAATATACAAGGATTCAGAATATCTACCTCTAATTCAGCCATTCTCAGGAAGTGATTAGAGAATGTCTTCTACCAAAATAAAGGAGTATATTAAGAAATACGAAGACATGGGATACAAAAACCCAATTTCATGATATTTAAAGCATATTTTTGATGGTATAAAACCATGTTGGGTCAGAGTAGACCAGGACTGGAGCTGAAATGAGTAATTTAAATAAGGTTTTTCACTTTAAAAATTCCACTGTTATAACTTAGATAAATCTAGTACTTCCTTTTCCTGAGGAAGACAGTAACTGGGTGAGAAAAGGGGAAATGAAACTCCATAAACAGGTCTAGAATGACATCCGCCATACTCTGAGAAGGGCCTGGGATTGGGAATAGTGATCAAGAGGAACTTTAGTTATATCTGTACTGGTTGAATTTTTAATGAGAACATATTTAATGAGAACATATTTTTGTATTACATGTGTGAATAAAAATAAATTAAAACATTATAGTAATTAATTAATAAATTTCAATCCAAGAGCTTAAAGAAGAGTTGATTCTGATTAAAACTCAATAAAATAAATAACCAAATAAAAATAAGAAATTCCACACATATAAAATTTGAAATAAGGAAGGAGATATAACCACAGATGCAAAGAAAATTAACTTATATTTCCCTTGGAGACACCTCAGCTGCCAATCTCCCACTCCAACTTCCGAAACAGGCATAAGACGCCTGGCCAAGTTTGAGATTTGGTCAGCACTACAACTATACGGACCTGCCTCCAACCTCAGTGATATAACTGGGGCTTTCAATGAACTAATTAATTTTTTAGGCTGATATTCAATCCTGGAGCTAGTTCTTATCAAAGTAACCTAGAGAGACAGAGCCCAGCTGATCACAAGTGGGTAGGAGCACACCTCAGGCTTCATTAGGCAAGAGCTCTTTAATGATAGTGCAATATCCCTAGCATGTGCAATATCCCTAGCATGGAATATTAACCAATTTTTTAAAATGATGATGTTCATCTATATTTAGTGATATAGAAAAACATCAAATACATTATTAAGTGAGGGGAAAAAAAGATTACAAAACATGATATAACCACCATTCTACTATCTGTTTCTGTGAGTTCTACTTTTTCTTTTTTACAAAAAGATTTCCCATAGTAGTGATTCCATACAATATTTGTCTTGGTCTGGCTTATTTCACTTAGCATAATGCCCTCCATTTATCATTATTACAAAATATTGGCTATATTCCCTGTGTCATAGTATATATCCTTGTAGCTTATTTATTTTATACATAGTAGTTTGTACCTCTTAATCCCCTTTCCCTATCGTGCCCCTCCCCCCTTCCCTCTCTCCACTGGTAACCACTAGTTTGTTCTCTATATCTGTGAGTCTGCTGCTTTTTTGTTATCTTCACTAGTTTGTCATATTTTTTAGATTCCACATATAAGTGGTATCATACAGTATTTGTCTTTCTCTGTCTCACATATTTCACTTAGCATAATACCCTCCAAGTCCATCCATGTTGCTGCAAAGGGCAAAACTTCATTTTTCAATGACTGAGTAGTATTCCATTGTGTATATATATATATATATATATATATATATATATTCCATTGTGTATATGTATGTATGTATATATATATATATTCCATTGTTTTATTTATGTATGTTTATATATATATATATATATATCCATCTGTTGATGGACACTTAGGTTGGCAATTGTAAATAATGCTGTTATGAACATTGGGGTACACATCTTTTTTTTCAATTAGAGTTTTCTTTTTTTTTTTTTGGATATATACCCAGAAGTGGAATTGCTGGGTCATACAGTAGTTCTATTTTTAGTTCTTTGAGAACTCTGCATACTGTTTTCCATGGTGGCTGCACCAATTTGCATTCCCACCAATATTGTGTTAGCCTTTCATTTTTCCACTTCCTTGCCAACATTTGCTATTTGTTGTCTTTTTGATGATGGCCATTCTGACAAGTGTGAGGTGATATCTCATTGTGGTTTTGATTTGCATTCCTCTGATGATTAATGATGGTGAGCACCTTTTCATGTGCCTCTCAGCCATCTGTAAGTCTTCCTTGGAAAAATGTCTATTCAGGCTTTCTGACCATTCTTTAAATTGGGTTGTTTGTTTTTTTGATGTTGAGTTGTGTGAGCTGTTTACATATTTTGGATATTAACCCCTTGTTGGTCATATCATTTGCAAATATTTTCTCCCATTCAGTAAGTTGTCTTTTTAAAAAAATATTTATTTATTTGGCTGCATTGGGTCTTAGTTTCAGCATGTGGGATCTTTTGTTGTGGCAGGCGGGCTTCTCTCTAGTTGTGGCGCATGGGCTCTAGAGCGCACATGGGCTTAGTTGCCCCGTGGCATGTGGGATCTTAGTTCCCTGACCAGGGATCGAACCCACATCCCCTGCATTGGAAGGCGGATTCTTAACCACTGGACCACCAGGGAAGTCCCAGTAGGTGGTCTTTTTGTTTTTGTTTTGTCGATGGTTTCCTTTGCTGTGCAAAAGCTTTAAGTTTAATTAGGTCCCATTTGTTTATTTTTGCTTTTATCTCCTTTAAGAGACAGATCCAAAAAAATATTGCTACTATTTATGTCATAGAGTGTCTCATCTATGTTTTTTTTCTAGGAGTTTTATCGTATCTGGTCTCACATTTAGGTCTTTAATTTATTTTGAGTTTATTTTCGTATACGGTCTTAGAGAATTTCTAATATCATTCTCTTACATGTATCTGTCCAGTTTTCCCAGCTCTACTTATTGAAGGGACAGTCTTTTCTCCATTGTATATTTTTGCACCCTTTGTTGTAGATTGACCAGAAGTGTGTGGGTTTATTTCTGGGCTCTCTATCGTGTTCCATTGATCTATATTTCTGTTTTTTGTTTTGGCTATTCATTATCTTTTGTGTTTACATATAGATTTAAAAATTTTTTGTTCTAGTTCTGTGAAAAATGCTATTGGTAATTTGATAGGGATTGCATTGGATCTGTAGATTGCCTTGGGTAGTATAGTCATTTGACAATATTGATTCTTCTAATCCAAGAACATGGTATATCTTTCCATCTGTTTGTGTCATCTTTGATTTCTTTCATCAGCATCTTATAGATTTCTGAGTACAGGTCTTTTGCCTCCTTAAGCAGGTTTATTCCTAGGTATTTTATCCTTTATTATGTGATTGTAAATGGGATTGTTTCCTTAATTTCTCTTTCTGATAGTTTGTTGTTAGTGTATAGAAATGCAACAGATTTTCTGTATATTATTTTTGGACCCTACAACTTTACTGAATTAATTGATGAGCTTTAGTAGTTTTTTGGTGGTATCTTTAGGATTTTCTATGTATAGTGTCATGTCATCTGCAAATAGTGATAGCAAATAGTGACAAAGAGTGACACCTGTTGGTGGGTGAAGCTGGTCCCAAGGCTAGAGCAGGCTCACTGGAGGACAGGGCCAGAGTCCAGGGGATTCTGGGGCTGGTGCCTGCCCACTGGTGGGTGAAGCTGGGTCCCAGGGTCTCTGGCTGGAGGTCGCTGGGGGTCCCGGGTCTGGTGCCTGCACACTGGTTTGTGGGGCAGATCCCGTGCCCTCTGGTGGACAGGGCCATGTCCAGGGGCAGCTGTGGGCTCAGGGGGTCTTAAGGCAGCCTGTCTGTTGGTGGGTGGGGCTGTGCCCATGCCCAGTTAGTTGCTTGGCATGAGGTGTCTCAGCACTTTTGCCTACAGGCAGGGATGGGTCCTGAGGCTTATAAGCTAGAGGGAGGATTTCACAATGGTGCTTACCAGCACCAGTGCCCTCCTGGTAGAATCAGCTCCCCAAATGGCTGCCACCAGTGTCTGTGTCCCCAGAGTGAGCTGCAGTTGCCTCCTACCTCTCTGGGAGACTCTCCAGATCAGCAGGTAGCTCTGACCCAGGCTCCTATTACTGCTTCTGCCCTGGATCCCGGAGCATGTGAGAGTTTGTGTGCGCCCTTGAAGAGTACAGTTTCTACTTCCCACAGCTCTCTGGGACTCTCGAGAGTGAGCCCTGCTGGTTTTCAAAGCCAAATGCTCTGGGCGCTCGTTTTCCCAGTATATGACCCACAGGCTATGGAGCCGAACATGGGGTCAGACCCCTCTCTCATTGGGGAGAACCTCTGCAATGGTACTTATCCTCCCGTTTGTGAATTGTCCACCCAGGGGTATGGGATTTGTCTATATCATGATGATGCCCCTCCTACCCATCTTATTGTGGTTCCTTCTTT